GCAATCCTCCTGCTTCAGTCTCCTGAGTCCTGAGAATCCAGACACTTAGAAACAGCAAATACTCCCACAGAGTCAACTAACCTGGGCTCATAGGGGCTCACAGAGACTAAACCACCAACCAGGAAGTCTGCATAGGACTGACCTAGGTCCTTTGCACATATGTTACAATTGTGTAGTTTGGTCCTCCTGTGGAACTCTTAAAGGTTCTGTCTCTGACTCTGTTGACTGATTTTGGGACCCTTTTCGCTTACCTTATCCAGCATTAATAGAAGAGGAAAGTGCCTAGTCTCATCTCAGCTTGATATGTCAAGGCTGGTTGATATCTGGGGCGGGGGGGGGGGCTGCGCTTTTCTGAAGCGAAATGGAGATGAGAGATGGGAAGTGTGAAGGGGGGGAGAAACTGAGGTTGGGATGTAAAAACAAATAAATACAAAAAAACGAAGGAGGGGGAGAAGGAAGGAAGGAAGGAAGGAAGGAAGGGAGGGAGGGAGGGAGGGAGGAAGGAAGGAAGGAAGGAAGGAAAACAGGGATGGTACTGAAAAAGCATTAAAGATGATCTGGTTCTATTCATTTTTTTCCCTGAGGATTTCTCCAGTAGCAGCAACAACATGACATTAACATGGGTGAAGCATCCAAAAAAAAAATAAAAATGTAGATATCAAAAATAAAAATGTAGAAATAAAGAAATATAAATTTGTAAGCCTATGAGAATGAGAACAGCAGCTTGAGGATTAACTATTAACAGTGGGTTATTTCGCTTTACAACTCATAGCTCTGTTTACAAGGCTGAAGCATCTCTCTGCAAACTGAGACCCTAACACCCCCAGCCATCCTTGATTAACACAGATATGAGCTGAGTTAGGAGATGGATATATGACCTCTGGGTTACACATTTTCCCTGCTATGTGAAACTGGCAGCATCAAAGGGGAGAGCACAGGGCTTCAGTAAAAACCACCTGGAAGAACAAGGAAGACAATAGTAAGTGCAAACACTAGTTTAACTGAAAGACTCTGTTAATGGAGATTGTAAAGTAAGGCAATCTGTATCTGAGTTTTACCTTGAGATTGTAAAAATTCCTTGTTCAGACCTAATGCTTGGTGCCCCTACTATAAAAAGGTGGGCTCAGAAACTGGCCTTTGTCACAGCCTAACAAAATCCATCTCTGGCTGTGGTCTCAGCTAGCTAATAAGGTTTATGTCTCCCATGGAGATTTTTTTTTTACTTTATTTTTTATTTTTTTCCTGGATTCTAGTTTCTGGAATAAAGTTTACTTCTGGTTTATTAGACTTTGGTGATCTGTCCCATCTTTGTGTACCCCACTCTGGACCCAAAAATGGAGATTGGGGATTTGAACTCTGGTCCTCATGCTTCCAAAACAAACACTTTAGCCTCCGAGGAATCTCCCATTCTCTCCCCTGACATGGTTTGTGTTTTAGGACAAACTCTCTCATTGGGACCTGGGGTTTGCTGATTAGGTTGGGCTGTCTGTCTAAAGGACTCCAGAGTCCTCAGTGCTGGACTTACAAGCACACGCTACTGTGCCTGGCTTTTTTTGCTTGAGTTCTGGGGATTGAACTCAAGTCCTCATGCCTACACACCAAGCGCTGTACCTACAGAGCTACCTCCCTCCTTTATCATATGCGCTTCAACCCAAATGCAAGTCACTGTGCCCAGCACATACCTTTCCTTTTCCAGAGAACCCAGGGCACTGTCAGGGGAAGAGATTAGAAATGGATCACTCAAGTGACTTGGGCATCTGAGCAGCGGAAAACGGTGTTAAAAGTCCTGCTCCTGGCCACCATTTCCTGGCTTTGTGAGCCAAGCCTTCACTTCTCTTTTTCTTTGTTTTTTAGCTTTTTAGAATCATACGTACATTCGTGTCTGTGTGGGTATGTACATGTATGTGCACGTGTCCTCGGAGGTCAAAAGAGGGGCTTGGATAGCCCCTCCAGAGCTAGTTACAGGCAGCTGCGAACTGTGCGACATGGTGCTGAGAATTGAATTCCAGTCCGTGCGGCATGCCCTCTTAATGCTGAGCCATCTCTCCAGTCCTTTTCTACTTTTCTTTTCTCTTCTTGTCTTGTTGAGACACAAGCCTCCCAAGGTAGCCTAGGCTGGCCTTAAACTTGAGGTCCTCCAGCTTCAGCCCCCAGAGTGCTGGGATTACCGGGGTGAACCACCAGGCCCAGTTGAGCTGAAGCTGAGGATCAGACCCAGGGTTTTGTTCACCCTAAAGAAGTCCTTGTCCACCCACCCAAAGCCCCCAGTGTGCTTTAGTTAGTCAAGAATTCAACAGCTAGGAGGCAAAGACTGTTGCTGAAAACCAACAAAATTGGGGCTCGGGCTGTAGCTAAGCAGTAGAGCCCTTCACCTGTGCGGTCTTAGGTCCAACTTCTAGCACTCAGTAATAATAATAATATACAAGAGAATCATACCTTGGGCAGCACTGAAAAAGAACGGGGTGGGAGATTCTTCTCACTCCACTGGCCTTGTGCAGAGAGGGCTTCATGCAGGGCCCTGCTTAGAATTAGGAGGAAGAGACAGTCATACCCCAGGAAGATTAGGGCTGTGGTAGGTGCCAACGTTGGAGCTGGGGAAAACCCAGAGGGAAAATATTCCTTCTCATGTCAGTAAGGAAGTGTGGGAAGGTGTTTTCTGGCACCGTTATCTCTCAGGAAGAAATGTTCATAGGATACCATGTAAAATCATATCCGTCTCCATGGATACGGATATGCCACTTAAGTGCTCAGGAGTCTGGCTCAAAACTATGGGCAAATATCTGGTGCAAATTCTAAAATGCCCCAGCCCCCTCATGGCGGATGAGCTGCTCTGCCAGCAGAGGAGAAACCAAGCATGTGATTCAGCCAGACTGTGGGCTGAGGACCCAGAGCTGAGTCTAGAATGAAGACCACAACTGGCCTCCAAAGCCCTGAGCAAGCCCTGTCCCCCAACCCTGCAGTCAGTTTCAGGACTGCTGGTTTTGCCGTCTTTACACCTGCTGGGCACGCCTGTCCTCTGAGTCAAATTCCTGCTGTCTTCATGAGTCCAGCTGTGCCCATTTGCAAAAGACCACCATAGCTGGTGACTATTGATCATTTCCTGCCAGTGCCACCTGTGGCCAGAGGGAGGCGAGGGGAGAGTCACGGGACCTTCACCCGAGTAGCCTGCACAGTTGGCTGGGTGTTTGCAACAGGTGTATGCAATTCTGCCCTAATTACATGTGACCTCAGGGACAAGCCAGAAGTACACAGCCTGGGAAAGACGAGGGAGGGGGCTCATCTGTGTGGCCTTAAGTGAGTCCCCAGTCACCTCCCAGTATGACTGCTTTAAGGCCACCTATGCTCCTGCCCATGACCTCCATTGCTCTGCCAGTGAGCCTAGTAAAGGCGTTGGTTCCCGAGGAGGAACTTGGTAGAATCGTACCTTGGGTTGTCGTTGGGACCTTTGCGGGAGGGGTAGATGTTATGTCTCCCCTTGGGAATGAGTCTTAGTAATGGCATCTAATAAAAAGAAGAAAGAAGGGGGTCAGGACTGTGGTTCAGTTCAAAAGTGCTTGCCTGGTTCGGGGTCCAGCAGCGCACAAGCTGAGTGTTGCAAGAGAATGCGTGCTAACTCCCATACCAGGCCAACATTTATGGAGACCATTTTTCTGGAAAAAAAAATTTCTAGGAAATCATTTTTTATCCAGTCCTTTTGCGACAAGGAAATTTTGCATTGCCAAGAAATACCTTTTTTTTTTAATTTATTTTCATTTTATGTGCTTAAGTGTTTTGCCTGCAGGTGTGTATGTGTATCACATGCATACCTGGGACCAAAAGAGGCTGAAGAGTTTGTCAGATGCCCTGGGACTGCAGTTATAGGTGCCTGGGGGCCGCCATGCGGGAGTGGGTGCTCGGTACTGGACCTGGGGTTTCTGGAAGAGCAGCCAGTTCTCTTTACCACTGAGCCGTCAGTACTCCAACCCTACAAGAAATAAGTCACTTCTCCATAGATGTTCACCCTCCGCCAACACCTGTTCAGCTGCTTCCCAGATGGGAGGGAAGTGAAGGCTCCAGGACATAAATTGTTCTGTGAGGAAAAAAACAAAAACAAAAACAGAGGAACATCTCTAAAGGTGGAGGAACAGATAAAAAGGCAATGCAAAAAAAAAAAAAAAAGCTAGGGAGACAGAGATTACCAGTGGGGGACAGAAACAAGGGCAAGAAGGCCTGAGGTACATTTTGCAATATCCTCACAGAGGTGACCCATTTCTCTACCTGACTAGAAGGTAGCTGAGTAGCCCTGAGATAAAGAAATGGGGTTTCTGTAATACTTGGAAACATGGTAGGGGCCCCATGGGTGGCTCAAAGGGAAGTGCCATTGGGTCAGTGGGGAGCAGGGTAACTCCAGTTCTTACTGTGGAAGGAGCAGGGTCTGAGGAAGTGGACCTGGGGCCTGGAGAACTGGGTCTGAGGAAGGAGGGCTGGGCCTGGAGTCCTGGGTCTGAGGGAGGAGGGCTGGGCCTGGGGTCCTCAGTCTGAGGGAGGAGGGCTGGGCCTGGAGTCCTGGGTCTGAGGGAGGATAGTTAGGTTCTCAAACTGTCAGTCTGTAGAAGGATGAGGACTGGACTCCTAAGTCCAAGGGAGAGGGCTTGGGGTCTGAATCCCTAGGGCTGAGGAAAGGATGGCCGGGTCCTAGACTCCTAGCTCTCGGGAAGCTATTGGGATGTGGACCCCTGGGTTAGTGGAAAGGCTTAGACCAAAATCTTTGAGCCCAAGGGAGGAGGGTTTGGGAGCTGGATCCCTCCTGGTTCTAAGGGTTGAAGGCTGGGTCTGTACTCTTCAGTCCAGAGGTAGGGACTATCCAGTCTAGCAGTAGATTCAAGGTGGGGCTCTGGCCTGGTGTTTATTGCATGGCAACTTCCCCCATTTCCTGAGCTGCCCTGGGTAATCCTGGGTATAAAAGGGTTGCATTTCCTGCTCTAAGAGACTGGAGGCATTTCTAGCCAGGGACAGGAGTCATGAACCTTATGCCAGTGCTGACCCTCCTGGGTGTCACCACTCTGCTACCCGGTACGTGAGAAATCCCACCTGGAAGGGGACATCTGTCCCAGGAGGTGGAACAAGGCAACCGACTGAGATGAAGCTGATCTTCCCACCCCAGGTGTACCAGCTCTGAGATGCCAAAGCAGCAGAATAGAGGCTGTGCGCAATGCCTCAGAGCTGCCCCTTGAGTGGAACACCGGCGAGGAAACTTGTGAGGTTGGTGACGGTTGCCAAGACCTGGTGATGCTTCTGGAGAATGGTAAGAAATCCCCTGAAGAGCCTGGTCCCACTGCCCTTGGGCATCCCGCATCCCTGGGAGGGACTCTCCCTCAGTGGCAGGTGCAACCCACCCATGCCTGGTTCCTTCTTTCTTAGCATCTCACTTACTTCGGGATGCCCACACTCACTCCAGGATCCTGGAATCCCAATCCCCACCCCCACCCGCTTTCCCTTCTCCATCCAGGACCCCAAATAAACTTGTTGATCAGCAAGGGCTGTGTTAAGATTGAGGACCAAGAGCCCCAGGTTACCTGGCTCAGGACCGGTCCTGGACTCTCTATAGTCTCCTACATCCGTGTGTGCCGCCATAGTGACTTCTGCAATGATGTGTCCAGCACTAAAGTTCTTGGAGACCTGCCCACACCCACAGGTGCCACAGGGAGGAAGAATGACAGGAGGGGACGGGGGGTGTGTGTGTGTGGGGAGTCCTATAAGGAAGGGGTGGAGCTATGGGAGAGAATTCAGCACACAGGATTATTCTTTTACAAACACTCACTTGCCAACGGAAGTTTGATCAGCTCACTGGCTCCATCCCACCCTTTACTGCACATCTGTCCTTCTCCCTCTTCCAATTCACTCACCCTCTGTCTCTTCCCACCCTCTCTTCCCTCCATCCTGCCTCAGAACACTCCTGCCAACATTCTACAACAGGGTTGGAGTTATGAGCTAGCTATATTTTCTGATGTTGAACCACCAGCCTTCAACTCTGGAGCTTCATCCCCCCACACTCTTCCAGCATGGTGCCTCTTTCTGGGTGGCTCTCATATAGGTTTCTGTGTTTCCTTTACCTGAGGGCACGCTCATGCATATGTAAAGAAGCCAGAGTCTAACTTGGGGTGTTCTTCCTTATAAACCATCTAGTTAGTGTCTTTGCAGCGAGGTCTCTCCTTGGAACCTGGAGCTAGCTCACAGACTTTTCTTGGCTGGCTGACCAGCCAGCCTCAGGGATCTACTTGGCTCTGCTACCAAGTATCAGGATCATCAGTAGACGAGTGCACCTAGCTTTATACATGGGTGCTGGGAACTAAAAGCAGATCCTCATGTTGCCAAGGCATGTCTCCCCAGCCCTGGCCTGGGACTTCGTCCTGCCTTGCTGCTGTCACGTGACATCTGGGCAATGGCGCACTGGAGGATTTGCTGAGCAAATCCTCACTTTCCTTCACTGTTTAGCAGAAGCTGTGGGTGAAACCACAGCCCCATTCTGACCTCAGTCCCGGGGTCTCTAATCACCTCCATACCCTTTCTGTCCTTGATTCCCCAGCTAGATCATAGCCTGAAATCCCTGAAGCTGGGCCTGTATGAGGGGAACCTCAGGAAGAAATGTTGGGTAACAAAGTAGGGAGGAGGTGTCTGAACCACAGCCAGGTCCTCCCCACTGCCCCTCACCTTATCTGTCGCCTGCAGTCCCAGGGACCCTGAGCTGCCCACTGTGCCTTTCCGAAGATGGTTGTGAGAACGCACCCATGCAGGTCTGCCCAGCAGACAGCACACACTGCTACAACGGAGTCCTCAGGCTCAGGGGAGGTAAGTCTGGAGGTCGGGCCCAGGGAGGGGGGGGCTAGGCATTGATATCTGAGTGTCTGGAGAACAAAGGTAAACTGAGTTTGGGCACTGAACCTGCAAGAAAGTGCAACTGGCCTCCTGGAGCTGGGTTTGCCTGAGACTTGAAAAGTTTGTCAGCTTTCTCTCCCCGCCCAGACCTCTTCCTCTCATCCTCTTCCCCTTGCCTAGACAACATAATCACCAATCTGAAGGTGCAGGGCTGCATGCCCCAGCCAGACTGCAACCTGCTCAATGGCACCAAGGCCATCGGGACCTTGGATATGAGTGAGAAGTGTGGTCTTCAGTTGGGTGAGTAGGAAAACGAGGCTGAGCCTCGGCACGAGATCATCCCTAGAAAGTGTGGAACACCCTAGAGCCACCAACCAAGGCCAGCCATTCCCAAGAAGTCCAGAGGGAGCGCGAGGACCCTTCCAGAGGGAGACTGGAGGGCTAGAGAAGGCGTGCCAGCAGGTCACGGGCAGAACTAGAGAACGGAGACACAGCTAATGTTGAATAAAGGTGGGTGTTCTGGGTGGAACAGAGGGCGAGGAGGAAGGCTGCTGAGAGGGGGTTCCTCTGTGGTGTTTTGCAGCAGTCAGCTCAGGACCATGTGCTGGGGCTCTGGGGGAAGTGATGCCAGCCTTCTTTGCATGGGCCTGGGAAAGCTGAGGTCTCCTGGCAGCTTTTGTTTTAGTGGGTGTGGGTGTGTTCATGTGTGAATGGGTGGATGTGTGTGCCCCCGTGTGTACATGTGTGTGAAGGTCAGAAACCAACCTCAGACATCACTCTCAGGAACTTCACCCACCTCCTTTGAGATGGAGTGTGTGTGTGTGTGTGTGTGTGTGTGTGTGTGTGTGTGTGTGATGCTAAGGGTCTGAAGTTTGCCAATTCAGCCAGGCTTGGTAGTCAGTGAGTCCCAAGAATCCACCTGCCTCTGCTTCCTTAGGACTGGGATTGCAGGCATGTGCCCTACACCCAGAGTTTTGAAGAGTATTTTTTTAGTGTGTGTGTTTATGTGTGTAGGCTCCCAGAGAGGCCAGAAAAGGGTGTCCCTGGTATTATAGTCAGTCACGAGCTGTCTGACACAGGTGATGGTATCTGAACTCGGATCCTCTGCAGGAAGGGCCACCGCTCCAGCCCTAACACACACCCAGCTTTTCCCTGAGTGTTCGGGATCACAGATTCAGGCCTTCACGCTTGCTTAGCAAACACTACTCTGACTGAGTCTCATCTACCCAGCTCGGTGTTGACCTTTTTATCCAAGCAGATGGAAAAGCCTGAGGATTTGGCTGGATATCACTAACACCAAGAACTGCTGCCTCTAGTAGCACAAGAGAGGTCTACAAAGGGGGCCAACCTGTTAGTGTTTATGACATGTGTCCCATCAGAAAGGGGTCTCTTGGGGCCTGGGGAAGCCCTTGAGGTGGGTTCCATCTCCCAATCCAGGTCCACAGGCTCTGGACTGCAACAGTGTGGCCTTAGACACTGTATGGAATGTATCAGAGCTGCACCTGAGCTGGACAACTGGCTGGAAAATCTGTGAGGCGGGCCAGGGGTGCCTTGAAACATTGATGCTAATACAGAATGGTAAGAAGAGGCCCCGCCCTATCACTAGCCACTCCCACTGCATGCCCCTCCCACCACATCCTGGGAATGACTCCATAACCCACCTCCCTGGCACTGAAATCTAGGACTCCTTCACGAACAGGTGAACCCTTCCTGTGCCTGGGCCCTTCCTCGCTAGCAGCTGTGCTACCTCTCACGAGGACCTGGAGGTCTGTGCTCCCAGCAGCCTCCCTCTCTTTCCAGGACAAGAATTTCACATGGTTCTCAGTAAGGGATGTACTAGTGCTGCAAACAGAGAGGCTCAAATCACCAGGCACAGGACAGGCCCTGGAATCTCTATCATCACGTATGTCCATGTGTGCCGCCACAGGGACTTCTGTAACGACCTGTCTACAACTGAAAATCTTTGGACTCCACCCCCTGACACAGGTACCAGAGTAGGAAGAATCCCTAGAGAGAGGAAGGGGTTGTCTCGAGGAAAGACAGGGCTATGGGATAGAAGTAAGCACACAGGGGCTATTTATTTTATTGCAAATTTTAAAATTTTTCGTGGTACTGGGGATGGAATCCAGGACCTTGCACAAGCTAAGCAGGTACTCTCAATCACTGAGCCACACCCCCAGCCCCTCAATGGGAGATTCTAGGTGTTGGGGGAGGCTGCTCCTTTGTTCCTAGCCGCCCAGACTCAAAATAACCACACAGAAACTGTAGTAATTAAATCACTGCTTGGCCTATTAGCTCTAGTGTCTTATTGGCTACCTCTTACATCTTAAGTTAACCTATTTCTATTAATCTGTGTGTCACCACGTGGCTGTGGCATACGGGCAAGGTTCCAGCCTGTCTGTCTCCTGCGGTGGCTGTATGGCATCTCACTGACTCCGCCTACTTTCTCCCAGCATTCAGCTTAGTTTTCCCACCTAGGTCTATTCTGCCCTGTCACAGGCCAAAGTAGCTTCTTTATTCATTAACCCATAAAAGCAACACATATACAGAAGGACTTCCCACACCCACATCACCTAGACAGGGGCTCTACCACTGAGCCACATCTCTAACCCCTCACTGGAGGATTCTAGGCAGGGGCTCCACCAGTGAGTGACATCCCCACCCTTGGGGCTGTTTAAAATCACCACCAACTCTACTGATTGGCAGCCTGTTAGCTCCCTCCACCTTGACCTCAAATGACTTCCGGTTCCGGCTGTGCATCTCTCCTATGGTCCTTCCTGGATCCCTGTGCTGGCCTTGTCTGCACGCACCTCACTAACTCTCCCATGTTTGTTTTCTGATGCTGAACCACCAACCTCAGAGAGGCCTTGCTCCTGCCTGGCTCCTCCTGCTTTCTCTAAGGCTGATTTGGGACGCTAATGTCACATTTAGTGTCTTTTGCACTTCCTCTTCCTGTTGAACATTAGTCTAGAACATTCCCTTCTTGTTGCCTGGTGTCAAAAATAGCTTGAGACGATGCTTTGCGTCTTCCTATTCTGAAACAGGACAGCTCTCATTCCCTTGGTTATTTAGCAGAAGCTTGGAGCAAACTGGGGTGGGGACAGCTTGGTGTTAAGAAAACTGTTGCTCTCCATAGGACCCAAGTATAGTTCTCAGCCCTCACCTTAGATGGCTCACAACAGCCTGTAACTCTAGTTGCAAAGACCCCGAAGTCAAAGCACCTACACACACATACGCAAACCCACCCCTCACCCTCCATTTACACAAAAATACACATAATTATAAATAATAAAAATAGATATTTTCAAAAAATAAGTTTGAAGTAAAGTCAGTGGTCCCTTTGAGGTACTCTCATTCTTTCTTATTTAAGTTCATGTCTCTTGTCCAGCCTCGGAAACTCTCCCAGACCCCACCTAGGAAAATAGCACCTCTTATGTTCTTGGCCAGAGGCCTCTTCTGCACTCTCTACCCCTTTACTCCTGCAGCTGGGCCTGTACAGAGAGAGTGGGGCATGCTGGGGGAATGAGTTGGGAGTCCTTTGAACCCAATCCAGAATCCCTACTGTCTCTCACTGCATCTACTGCTTCCAGTCCCAGGGACCCTGAGCTGCCCACACTGCCTGTCAACACGTGGCTGTGAACACGCACCTGAACAGGTCTGCCCTGCAGGCAGCACACACTGCTACAGTGGAGTCCTCAGACTCAGGGGAGGTAAGCCTGGACATGGCGACCCTACCAAGTGGATGAGGAGGACTGGAAGTTGAGATTCAGTATCTGGGAAGTGAGAGTAGACAGACAGGGCATAAGACCCAGAGCGGGGCAAGGCAGGCCTCCTGGAGCTGGGCTTGCCTCTGAGGTTTGCATGATCCTTATGTCAGTGTCTCTGTCTCTCCCCATCTCCTCCTTTCCTAGGGGGCATAACCACCAATCTGAGGGTGCAGGGCTGCATGCCAGAGTCAGGCTGCAACCTGTTTGATGGCACCAAGGTCATCGGACCCATAAGAGTGAGTGAGAATTGCGGGCCCCAGTCAGGTGAGTTTCATACAGGAAAAGGAGATGCATTCTTTGCACTGCAGCCCCGACAAGATGATCCTTGTGGGGTGTGGGACACCCAAAGCCACTCACCATGGCTAGTCAGCCCAGAGCATCACTTGCTCAAGATGTGCGCAAGCAACTGGGGGAGGGAGATTCTTCAGGGAGGCTGTGGCAGCAGGATCGAAAGGTATCCAGGTAAAGGAGACTGGGAGTGTGACCCAAAACACAAAAGCATTGAGGGGAATGTTGGATAATTCTGGAACTAGTGAGCTCATGTGGCCCCTCCTTATGGAAGGACAGGATAAGTGGGAAAGGGCCAGGTGCACCTGCTTGTTTGTCCCCATTCTATACACCCAGTCCTGGCGTCAGGTTCTTTTAACCACCTCCAGTCTCTCCATCCCCTTCTCCCATCCTCATCTATGATACCCAGAAGCCTCACTCCATTGGAAAGAAAATCAGAGAGCGGAGAATGCAGGACTCAAGTGGGGGGCCACAGTGGCACTCACCTGGCAGGCGTGGGTGGCGGTGGAGTTTCTCAGAAAGGATGCAAGGGAAAGAGTGGCTATCGTAGAGACAGAAAATGGATTAGGAGTATTATCTTGCCTAAGTGCCTGGTCTTGTGTATCCCAGCCTCAGTTTCCTAACATGCCTGTGTCGTCTTAACCCTCAGAGCCTCAAAGAGAGCATGTAGATGGGCCTGGGGAGATGGCTCAACAGGGAAAACACTTTCCACACAGCACGAAGTCCAGAGTTTGCAACCTCAGCACAGTGTAAAACTGAGCAGAGCAGCACACATCCAAACCCTAGCACTGGGGTTGAGAGAGGGGAGGGAAGAAACAGATGAATTCCCAGAGCCCCTGCTATGCCAGTCAATAAGGTCTGGGTTCAGTGGGAGTCTGTGTCTCAAAAGATAAGGTGGAAGATACCCAGAATGAACCTCTGCCCTCCACATTCATGCGCACACACACGCACATACACACATGCATGCTCACACACCTGTATATAAGCATGCATGCTCACACACCTGCATACACACACATCTGCACAACACACACATGCATACACACATGCACGCGGGCACACTTGTATGTAGGCATGCATGCTCACACACCTGCACACACATATCTGCACACACATATACATGCTCACACAACTGTACATACACATGCATGCACACACATTTTAGAGAGTTGAGTGGGTTCCTCAAATGTTCCTGTTTGCATTTTATTTATTTTTTAGTACATTTACCTATTTATGTGTGTGTGTTCATGTGCACACACATGGCCATGCTGTGCGAGTGGCGGGGTGGGGAGGGGGCGGTAAGAGGAACTTCAGGGAACCGGTTTTCTCTTTCCGTTGTCTGGGTTCTGGGGACCAAACTCAGGACTCAGGTCGTCAAACTTGCCGACAAGTAGCTTAATCCCCAGTGCCATGTTGGCCTTGTTTGAGTTTTAATCTGTCTCACAATGTTTGACGTAACGACTTGAGTTGTGTGTCACTGCTTCATGTAGCAAGTATAGAGGCGGTTTATGGTGGCTAGCCAGTAATCCCGGAAGTCAAGCTGAGAGACCTCCTTTATAGGTTTTCTCCTCCTATCCCAGGCGCTCAGGCCCTAGAATGCAGGAGTGGGAAAGCTGAAGCCCTAATGAAAGTGTCGTCGCTGCCCCTGGGATGGACAACCAGCTGGGAGACCTGTAAAATCGGCGAGGGGTGCCAGGAAACAGTCTTACTCATAGTGAATGGTGAGACCGGAGCCTCGGTGTGCAACCCGCCCCTTCTGGCTCAACCCTGCCCCCGGAGTTCTGCCTGGAATTCGCGAGGCCCACGACCCCAGCGCCCATTCCCAACCCACCATCTCACCACCACCAGGCCGACCACCTCCCCGAGGCACAACATCCCACCACGACCCCCTGTCATTCTGACCCTCCGGGTCTCCCTCTCTCCTTCCAGGACCCAATGTGAACTTGGTGTTCACCAAAGGCTGCACAGCAGACGAAGACCACAAGCCCCGCATCACCCGGCACAGAACAGGCCCCGGCGTCTCCATTATCTCTTATACCCACGTGTGCCGCCACTGGGACTTCTGCAATGACCTGTCCTCCACCCATCCACTCTGGATCCCACCACCTGTCACAGGTGCTAGAGGGAAGTGGGGGTCACAGGAGCAGGGGAAGGGGAAGGGATGACAGAATGAAGGACCGAACTGTGATTCTAAAGAGATCACTAAAGGTGTTCATTTCAGGCTGCCCCTTGCTGTGCCCTGCCCCCCCCGGCACCCCCCCCCATCTGGAATTCTGTCTCTCTCTCTTACTCCCTCACCCCTCTCTCAGGCTCCACCTATTCCTTTCTTCTCCCACACAGAACAGCGAACTGGTGGTTTTTCTTTTGTGTGTACGTGCGTGTGCACAAGAGTGGAGGCCAAAAGGCACAGGTGACATTCCTCAGAAGCCATACGCCTTACTTTTTGAGACTGGGGTCTTTTATTGGCCTGGAGCTCACCTGTTAGGGTAGATTGGCTGGCCAATGAGCCCCAGGGACCAGCTCATTGCCATCTCCCCAACTCTGGCATTCTGAGACTATGCCATTCCATGTGGCTTTGGGATTCAGGGCTCTGCAGCAAGCACTTTACCTACAGAGCCATCTGATGATGACTTTTCTGATGCTAAATCATGGCAGATTCTGTCACAGTCTGACCTTGCCATCCCGAATAGTCCTTTTCTCTCTGCTGGGGTTAGTCACTAACAGGGGTCTGTCACATTTCTTCTCCAGGAAGGATCCTGGCTTGTAACTTCCCACTGGCCTTCCCTGATGTTTGCTAAACAGAGTATGAGATGGTCTTCTCTGGAATGTTGGTACTTGTCCTCCTTGACCTTCTAGTAGACTTTGAAGTCACTGGTACTTTCCAGGACACCCCCTTCCATCCTTGGCCAAGTCCATCTCTCTGTCTGGTCACAGAAAAGACACTGCTGGTTGGCAGGCTCAGGCACTCAGGCCTGGGGTCTCCACAGTCTTTCCTGCCTTCAGGCATGATGCCCTCTTAGGACACAGAGTTGTCTTTGAGCCACCATGAGACCCGAGGGCACCAAATAACTTAACTTCATTCTTAGGACCACTGGGGCCTTCCACTGCCCCTCACTGTGACTTGTCTCTCAGGTCCAGGGTCCCTGCGTTGCCCATTGTGCCTTTCCAAAGATGGCTGTCCAAAGAATGCCCCCGAACAGGTCTGCCCTGCAGGCAGCTTGCACTGTTACAATGGAGTCCTCAGCCTCAGGGGAGGTAAGCCTGGACACGGGCCGCTGGGGGACTGAATACTGTAAGCCAGTAAGCTGGGATGGAGAGAGCTGGGTAAACTGAGTGAAGGAACTGAGCTTCCAGGAGTGTGGGGCCAGCCTCCAGAGCTGGGCTTGCCTCTGAGGCTCACATGATCTGCCTGTGAACTCTCTGTGTGCGCTTCTCTGTCTCTCTCTTCTCCTCCTATCCTAGAAGGGCTCATCTCCGAGCTGAAGGTGCAGGGCTGCATGTCCCAGCCAGGCTGTGACCTGCTCAACGGCACCCAGACAATTGGACCCATAGATGTGCGTGAGGACTGCGGTCCTCAGTTAGGTGAGTCGTATGCTGCAGCCCCCAAGCAACAGGATACTTGTGGGGTACCCTAAACCACCAACAGAGGCAACCCAAAGTAGCCACTTACATGAGATCACTCTCCAGTGTTTGCCTGGGAGGAGATTCTCCAGAGAGACTGCTGGTGGTGGACCAAGGAGAAACTGTGGCCTGTGATTGGTGAGGTGGCTTAGCGAGTATCATCCTTACTGACCTGAGTTCTGCCCCTGAGACCCACATAGTGGAAGGAGAGAACCCATCCTAAGTTGTCCTCTGGACCCCACGGTGCTGGCCCAGGTGAGACTGTGGGTGTTGGAGATGAGGGCTGAGTGGAAGGAAAGTCCAGGTGCAAGGTGGTCACTCTGCATGGGATTCCATGCTGTTGTCAGTGCTGTGACACCCGGCAGGGGTCCTGAGCGCAAGAAGAGCTTTCTGACTGCATCTTTTTAGTTTATTGTCGTGTCTTCATTGTGCAGAGTGGTGGGTTTCATACTGGCATTTTCATTCATTCAACTACCTCCTTCTCTCTCTTTCCTCTTTTGCTAGCCCCCACTTTTCCCCAAATAGTCTCCTTTCTTCTTTCGCATCATAGATATACAAATTTGGGGTGTGCATGTGTGTGTGTGAATGTGTGTGCATGAATGTGTGTGTGTGCATGTGTTTTAGCATGAGAGAACACGTGAAATGTTTCTTTTGGAATCCGTTTTATTTCATTTCATGCAATGATCCGCAGTTCCTTCCCCCCTGCTTCCCCCCCCCCCCCCCCGAGAGAGGGTTTCACTGTAGTTTTAGAGCCTGTCCTGGCACTAGCTCTTGTAGCCCAAGCTGGCCTCGAACTCACAGAGATCCACCTGCCTCTGCCTCCCGAGTGCCGGGATTAAAGGCGTGCGCCACTGCTGCCACCAACACACAGCTTTTTTTTTTAATGACATTTCTTTCTTATTCTTTTAAATGTATTAACATGTATTTCATTACTATTAATATTATGCACTTTTTACCACTGTCTTGGGGGCCAGCCTCCAGCAATACAGGGCCTTGACAGGATCCACATAGTGACAAGGATAGAATTTGCTGTCTAGAGTGGGGGTGAAGGAGTAGGGAATGAGAGGAAAAGACACTCACAAACTCTCTTGATGCTTTCCTTCTTTATTCTCTTTTTTACTGTCTCTCTCTTTCCTCTCATGTTGTTTCGCAGCTTTTATACCCCAACAGACTCTTCCAGGCAGTACAAGAGTCAAAACAGTTGAGTTCCATTTCCCAAGTGAATGATTATAGGTAAAAACATGTTTTCCACCTCCCTCACAGGATTAAACATTTTATATATTACAGGGGAAAAACAAATTACCCCAGAGCCCACATACTTACATACCCAAGTAACTTATTACAGATTAACCATGTGGCAAGCAAGGTGTTCTCCTCAGGTCTTTTACTGGCAGGCTAATGAAAAGTAATCTGATAAGGAATCCTAAAGGGATCACAAACCTAAACTTTTATGTATGAAAAGGAATCAGTCAGCTCTACTTTAAATCTTTAAGGGTGCATATCCATTCATTAATAGTTTTTTAATATATATATATATATATAAATATATATATATCAGAAGAGTGAGACAATGGGTATAAGGAATTAATCATCACCTTTGGTCATCAACCAAACCTAGCAAGGAGTGTAGTCAGCTTCTCTACTGACTTCTCTGTTCTCCTTCCCTGACCTCAAAGAGTTCCTCACTCAACTCTGTGCCTTTCTCAGACTTTAGATTATTGTCTTGGGTTTTCCACCTCAAAGGTATTTAACACAAACATCTTAATCTAACTTTGTTATTTTCAAAGCTTTTCTTCAGCTGTGATGCACTCGGAGACCTGTGAACACATCTCCCGACACTAAGGTTAAAACAATTTAAAGTAGCTGGGCTACTGGGACTCCACTGTTAGTCATTAATAGAGCTACAATCCATGCAGATGAGACTCACAGACCCTGGCTAAAGGGACACAATACATATCCTTGTATTTATTTCTATTCATCAAAACTCTGTGTAAGCTGTCATTATTATCAATTAGATAGTACAGCTGAGGGAGGGGTCATCTTCTTGGCAGTCCATAGGTAAAAATGCCCAGTAGAACGGGATGTTTCCAGGAGATAAACACACTACATTACAGGCAGTGGAGATCTCCCCACATCCACTCACACCATGATAGACATCAGAGAAAGGGAGCTGCAGCAAACATGTAAAGACACAGCAGAAGCAAAAGACATTCTGAGGTCTGTAGTCCCGTGGCTTTGCCTAAATGAGGCTGACCCATCAGGGGATTCCCTCCTGATGGGACTTCAATCGCAGCATCCTGATCCTCTGGCATGGCCAATGGTGACTTACACTTTTGTGAGTGTAATGTGTGTATGGTATGTGCCCACTAGGCTGGCTAGCCCAGACTCCCAACCTTCACCTGTCTCACTTCCTAATGCTGGGATTTCGTGGGATACTAGAGATCTGAACTCTGGGCCTCTTACTTTCACAGTGAGCTCTCATGCATGAAACTTTGGGCTCTACCCCCAGTAGAAACTAAACCAGCAATGATAGAACATGCCTGTCATCCAGGCACTTGAGAGGTAGAGGCAGGGGGATTTGATGTTCAAGGTCATCATCCCTGGCCGTACAGCAAGTTTGAGTCCAGCCTTAGCTACACGAGACCCCGTCTAAAAGGAAAACAGCAACTCCACGGTGTGCATATGCCGTGCATGTCCACAAGCCTGATTTGGGGCAGCTCTGCCACCTCCTGCCTGGGTGACACTGGACAAACCCCCAACACTTCCTGCCTCTGCTTCCCTCCCTTGAGAATGCTGCCACCTGCTGTGGGGCTGTGGTGAGGAAGTGAGGCAGTCCTGTCAACAGTGAAGACAGGAGCTGGCTCTGCAGTCCCAGTGCTCCAGAGGCAGAGGCTGGAGAACTGCCAGAGGGAGGCCAGCCTGGACCACGCAGCTAGAGCCTGTCTCAGACACACGCACACGCACACGCACATGTACGCACATGCACACACACACACACAGTGGATGTAGTGGGCTCATCTGTGCAGTCATTTCTGTATCTAGGCACCATGCAGGCCCAGTGCTTACTAGAGGTCAACCTAGTGATCTCTTTGGAATCTAGGACTTCTCAGTCCAAAGAAATGTATTAGCTGGGGAGGTGGCTCAGGAAATAGGTGCTTGCTATGCAAACATAAAAACCTAAGACCAATTCCTAGCACCCCTGGAGAAAGAGAGAGAGAGAGAGAGAGAGAGAGAGAGAGAGAGAGAGAGAGAGAGAGAGAGAGAGACAGAGCTATGGTGGAACATGCTTATAATCCCAGCCCTGGCAAGGCAGCGATGGGCAGACCCCACAACTTGCTGCCCAGTCCTCCGCGCCTACTTGACCTTACTTCAAAAGGTTCAGACCACTGAGCGACCCTTTCTGGAAAAACAAATCAAGGGTGGATGAGGTGGCTCATCAGGTTAAAGCACTCATGCCGGATGTCCTGAATTCACTCCCTGGTCCCATGTGGTGGAGGGAGAGAACTAACTCCCAAAGTTGTGGCACATACAGACACCCACATATGCACACACACACACACGTATGTGCACACACACGCACGTGTGCGCGCACATGTAATAAAAGTATATAAATAAAAAAGGAGAAGCTTGACTGGAGAGATGAAATCAGTGGCTGAAAGTACATGCTGTGGGAAGGAAGACGTGTAACTCACTCACGATGGCAGCTGGGGTTTCATCTGGCTTCCACATGCATGCACACACATATGAACAGGAATACACACATGTGTGCACACACAAACACACACAAAAGGTAAAGGTAGCTTGAGACCATCTTCCCCATGAAACCCCATGGGGAGTATAGAATGGCCGAAGAGGGGCCCTCAGTGGAGAAGCAAGTCTTCCTCAGGAGGCTCTGAGAGGAGCAGGTGCTCAGGGAGGAACAAGGTGAACAGAGATACAGGCTTGGAGACTGTGACTTCTGAGTCCCTTAATCCAGATGGGGATGTCACAGCCAGGGCATGGGAAGTATGACTCGGAGCATGATGGCCGCCCTTAGCCCGGAAGCTGAGCGGCAGACATGGTGGCTCCCTGACTCTCACTAATCTTGACGGTTTTTCTCTCCACAGGTGCTCTGACGTGTTACAAGGGGATCATGTTGAGGCGTGGCACTGGCTTTGCTAAGGAAGCTGTCGAGTGCAGCGGTCGGATCAATAAATCACCAGTAATTGATATTTAAACAAATTTAATAACAAAACCAGACTCACAAAACCAAGGTTCCAGCGGAGTGGCCAGCGGAAACAGGAGAGAGCGAAGGGAGCGCGCAGCACAATATATATCAGTAAACATACGCCTGAGGGCAGCCCGCCCCCAAGGGGAGGGCTTATCCCTACAGTCGAGTGGTCTGCTGTGTCGACCAAAGTGTGTGAACCTAAGGAGTTATGTCAGGAGACACTCCTCCTCATAGACGTAGGTGTGTGGGATGAGACGAGGGCCGCACTCCTGCACCAGGCCAGCACAGCCCTACCCTGGGTTCTGTGTCCTGCAGTTCCTGCCCACCTCCTCCTCTTTCTGGGCTTGTCTTGCTGGGTGGCGGTGTAAGGTAGCCCCAAGCCCAGAGATGAGAACAGTGTTGGAACAACAGAAGGGGCCCTGATGACGGCCATCATTTGAAGCATTCTCGGGCTGGGTGTGGCTCAGTTGGTTCAGTGTCTGTTTACCATGCAAGTCCTGAGTTTGATCCATAGCACCAGGTAAACTGGGCATACCTGTAATCCCAGTGCTGGGAAAGAGGAGACAGGGAAATTGAGATTTAATGCCATCCACACCTATATAGTGAGTTCAAGACCATGGTGGGCTGAGACTCTCAAAGAGAGAGCAAGAGAGAGAGTGAAGCAAAGAGCTAGAGAAACTGAGAGAGGAAGGGAGGGGGAGAGAGGGGGAAGGAGGGGGGTAGAAGAGATGGTGAGCACAGTGAGGCTGCAGCCTGTGGGAGGGGCTCAGGGAGACTGTGGAGACAGTGTGCAGCAAGGTCTGCAAGGGGCGGGGCAGAAGGAGCCAGGCTTGAGCTTCAGGCTTTGACAGACACAGACCATGCTGAATTGTGTCCTTCAAGGGACCCAAGAACTGGGCTCCCAGACCTTGTCACCCTCCCCTTCCCAGCCCAGCTTTCACTCTCTTATACCCACAGGACCAAGGACACTCCTACTAGGGAGCAAAGGTTGCTCCGGGCGTGGAGCAGAGGACAACGGTAGTATCTCCATATACTCCCAGCCCCCTGGAATGGTGGTAGCTTCCTACACACGCTTCTGTTCCTCCAACCTGTGCAATGAAGCCAACAGCAGCAGCGTCCTGCTGAACTCCCTCCCTCGTCCAAGTATGGGACCCAGACATTTGGGGGTTCCGCTGGTGGCTGGCGTTGAGAGCATGCAGTGCACCCCAATCTTTCTCTCTGTCCTCAGATGTCCCTCCCCCTGGAGACCTGCAGTGTCCGGCGTGTGTAGAGTTGTCTGCATCCTGCTTTCAGAGCACCAACTTTGTCACCTGCCCTCAGGGGACCACTCGCTGTTATAAAGGGGACCTTGAGCTCCAGGGAGGTGAGTGCGGGAAGGAAAGAGCCAGGGCTCCAGGGTTTGAGGATAGAGGGTTGTATCAAGATGAGGCTACCTCAGATGGAAGGAGGCTGGGCCTGGACCCCTGGGTCTGAGGAGAAGAGCTGGGCCTGGACTCATTAGGCTAAAGGTTGGCCCTTTAGCCCTGTCAGGGAGTGGAACTGGAACCTGGAGTCCTGGGTGGAGGAAGGAAGGCAGGTGTTAGATTCAAGGTTTGGGGGAGAAGGATGGGTCTGGGATTCCTGGGTTGGAGTTTCCCAGCATTGCTGGACTGTGGCACCCCTGACTGATCTTCACCCTCCAGGTGGAGTGTCTTCCACACTGAGCCTTCAGGGATGCATGTCCTCACCTAACAAAACTTTACTGGGTGGCTCTAGAACAATCGGGATCTTCTCCACAAAAGAACTCTTTGAGGATGAAGAAAATGATCAAAAGCCTCTGGATGGAGGTGTCTCAGCCTCTTCCCTGGCTTGGGTGTTAGGGCTGGGGCTCTTCTTAACCCTTTGTTTGTAGGGCTTTGTCCTCTCTGCTGAACCCATTTCCCTGCAATCCTTAATCCCTGTTGGCCACCCATACCCAGCCCTCCTCTGACGTCATAACCTAAGACCTTACACTTGGAACCTTCTGCCAATGCTGTCCCGATCCCTCACCTCACATCACTGATATTGATATATGGGAGCCACTGATCTCACCCTATGCCAGTGGACACCCACATATTGGCCATACATGTGGAATAATAAAGTCGCTGTTGTTTCTCCAAATACTGGGTTTCACTTTATGCGAGGAGATGATGGCAGGCAGTGGGATCATGAGAGACCCGCTGCCAAGGCCAGCCTTCCTGTGTCTGCCCACAGAGCCCTCAGGGTGCTGCCACCTAAAATGCTGGGCCTCACTGTGACCTGGGAGGGGCCCGGAGCACAGCAAGGGGCTTTCACCTCTCCTGAGTAGCTGAGTAAGAGGCTCTGAGAGACACAAGTCGGGGTTATTGACACGGGAGCAGAGAATAAGGCTTGGTACAGTTTCTTAGGGCCATTACCAGGTAAGTGCTGCTATTGTAGGCTTGAAAGGGTAAGGATCAGGGAACACACACACCATACACATACCATACACACACATACCATACATACATACACTGCATCCACACAACACATGCACCACATGCCCCATACACACACCACACACACACACACCATATCCACACAACATCTACGCACACCATACACAGACATACCATACATATACACCACATCCATACAACAGAGACACATCACATGCACCATACATACACCACACGCACATACCACATACATGCAACATACAGACATACAACATACCACATTGACACAACTACACACACATCCATACAACATACACACACACAATGTACACACACAACATTCACACATCCACCCACACCACATCCACCATACACACCACATCCATACAACACACACACACAGAGTCACTCAAACACAGGTGTTACATTTTCATGCCGGACTGAAACTAGCATTTCAGAGTTTCAGGCTCTGTGAGAGAGGAGTGGTATTGCGGGAGAATTGTCTGTCTTCTGTCAATCATGTTTTAAGTAAATGCTGATTGGCCAGGCAGGAAGTATAGGTGGGTCAACCAGACAGGAAGTAGAGGCGGGGTGATGAGAACAGGAGTATTCTGGGAAGAAGGAAGCTCTTTCCAGAGTCCTGCACAGACCACCGAAGAAGCAGAATGTGATCTGCCCAGCTGAAAAAGGTACAGAGCCATGTGGCTAACATAGATAAGAACAATGGGTTAATATAAGATATAAGAGCTAATATGAAGCCTGAGCTAATGGGCCAAACAGTTTATAATCTTATGGAGACCTCTGTGTGATTTTCTTTGGGACCTTGCCAACTGCGAGGTACCGGGCAGGACAGAAACCCCAACAAGCTGGCCCTCATGTTACAGAGTGGAGACTTTTTTCCAGTGTCACAGTCCTCCTGGGACCCCGCACACGGGCCGAATAAGGCAGTTCCCACAGATCTGACATCCACACCATGGGGAAGTGGGAAGAAGAGTGAACCTAGGGGCACAAAAGCAGCGAGCCCAGTCCTTAGGGTCCCTCAGTGAATTAGCAGCTCTGCTGCCTGTCAAAATGTGGCTTAGGGATCGGGAGGTTCATCGTAGCTCCTGGTTTGATGGGATGCAAATGATCACTGTGGGGGAAGGCATGGGAGCAGAGGAGAGCATACAGTTAGCACATATGTGAGCATTGCTCACATATGGAAGGACTGGGGAAGAGAACAGGCAGCTTTCACACGGGTTTCAGAGATCAACCTTGGGTCTTCATGTGCTGGACTGCAAGTCCTAGATAGGCTGAGGCAGCAACCAAGCCCATCACTTTAATCCTCCTTAACAGTACTTAGCCTGGCTCTCCAAAAGCCATCCACACAGACACTGGCTCTGGGACCACAGCTGCATGAGATTCACAGGAGGAAATGAAGGAACAAAGCCAACTCCATTCTGTGCTAGGCCCTAAGGTGGATATCAGCAGAGCGGGAAGTTCCCTAGACTGCAGCCAATCACAGAGTCACCCGTACCCCTTATGCCCATAACTGTAGTTTGTGGGGTTTTGCCTTTATAAACCTTGCCTAAAATGGTGGGGTACCTCCTCTGGCCCCCACAGCATTGGTGTGTGAGACAAGGTCCCTGCCACGGTTTGTGCTGCGTGATTAAACCTTGCTTTTGCTTTTTGGTGAGTCTGTGTCTCTGGTGGTCTTCTTGGGGTCTCTGCAACCGGGGCGCAACAGAACCCCCTGCCATCTCCATTCCAACATCAGCTCTTTGCATTGTTCCTGTTGGCCCATGCTTGCTTTCTAGAAATGCCCAAAGAATCTGCATAGTTGGCATGCTGATGGAGTACCACAGGCTGCTGGGACTCCCAATATGTGTCTGCTTGCTTTCTCCACTCTCGTCTACCCCTTCATCTGCTTCTCCCCCCGACACACATTCTCTAACATCCATCTGTGTTTGTCTGCACAGTGAATGTCCTCTCTCCCTGCTACACCTGTTACGCCCACATCATGAGTCCCCCAGAGACCACCAGGAGTCTGAGTTGATATGCAAAGAGCTTTTTTCCTGCAAGCTCCAGCTTGGGTTCTCTGTTCCTACACAGCGGTTAGACCAGGGAGCACATTGAGCTCAGCTGTGGCAGGGTTTTTAAGGAGTAAAGGATGGAGAGCGAGTGTCTAGGATCAGCCTGTAATATTCCCAGCATTATTATTATTATTATTATTATTATGTGTTATTCTGCCTGGATTTTGCCTTCTTACTAGGGATTTAAACTCAGATCACCATGCTTGCATAGCAAATATTTAACCCACTAGGTCATCCCCAGACTCCAGAAATGACCTTTTGTTTTCGTGTGTGTGTGTGTGTGTGTGTGTGTGTGTGTGTGTGTGTGTGTGGCTGTATTTGTCCTGGAACTCAGAGATCCTGCACTCTCCTCCCGATTACTGAGGTTAAAAGGATGGGCCACAATGGCCAGCCCCAGAAATGTCTTTTTCAAACTTCAGTCATAATAAAAATAAACAAGATATTTCGATTGCATTGCTCAGCAGTTTTATTTGTCAGCAAGAATTTAGGATTCAGTACACTTAAGGCAGGTATGTGATTGTGGAGGGAAAAGGGAAGAATTAGGGCTAGGTGCTTTTAGGTCCTGGTTACAGGACAGAATATGTTGAGGTGTTTAGGATCCAGAGAGAACTACACCCCTTAGTTCCTATTTTGTCCAGTTCTGTCTCTTTGGGATGTCAGCAGTGGTTTATTGGAGCTAAATAATTCAAGAGAGTGAATATTTAAATTTTCAGAAAAAAGAATCAACCTAGTTTCTAAACACACAGACATTATTAAAAATCATGTGCATTTCCTATTCATTTTTTTCCAGACAAGATTTCTCTGTGTAACAGCCCTGACTGTCCTGGAACTCACTCTGTAGACCAGGCTGGCCTCAAACACACAGAGATCCGCCTGCCTCTGCCTCCCGAGTGCTGGGATTACAGGTGTGCGCCACCATCACCTGGACTTTGAACTGAATTTTTAAAGTGAGTATTCAACAGTCACCACTTGCCATTGCACAACGTCTATTTCCCATGGTTTGATGTCACTTGTCCTTGTCCCAGCTGTGTGGTGCAAATATTAGATGACTGCTCCCGAGAATTCCTATTCATTATTTACAGGAGAGAGTTCCCAGTGAAGTAGGGTCTCAGTTTTGGGGGGTCCCCCTGCTTCTGTCTCTCAGGTGCTACCATTAGAGCTTTGTACCGCATCTGGCTGTAATTGTTGTTTTCAAATGGGGCCTCATGTAGCCTAAGCTGGTCTTGAACTCACAGCGTAGCCAGAGAAGACAGCCAGGAAAGGTTGGTCCTCCTGCCTCCATCTCTAAGTCCTGGGGTTGTAGGTGTGCCCCCCGACACCTGGTCTATACAGTGCTGGGGCTCAAACTGGTGCTTTATGCGTGTGAGATGAGCACCCTACAGTCCAGCCTTGGAGTTGTTCTCAAATGCTAGAGTGCTGGTGTGTTCTGGAGACCTGCTGCCGACAGCGTCATCTCTGCTGAACTGAACTACGTGAACACTACGAACTGTGCACGGGAAATGCTTACAACCAAAATTCGTTTTCTCTTTTCATTTGAGACAGAACCTCATGGAGCCCAGGCTGAGTCCAAAGTGGACAGTAATCAAGGATGACCCTGAAGTTCTGAGCCTTCTGCCCACCACTCCTGAGACCCATCAGAATGTCTGTTCAGTGCGTCCTATTGGGTTCAGTAAGCACACCATGGGAACTGGCAAATACAGTAAAGTCAAGCCTTCTCCTTCCTCTCAGGGAAATCACCTATTCACAATTTGGTATATGTTGTAGTCTGTGTTCAATTGTATGAAGAGATACCATGACCTCGACAACTCTTATAAAAGAGAGCATTTAATTGGGGGTTGCTTGCACGCAGGCAGACAAGGTAGCTGAGAATTCCATAACTGCACCCACAGGCAGTGCGTAGAGAGAGCCACTGGGCCTGGCTGGACACACTTCCTCCAGCAAGGCCACACCTACTCCGGCAAGGCCACACCCAATCCTTCTCAAGCAGTGCCACTCCCTGAGGACTTAGCATTCAAGCAGATGAGCAGTGGGGCCTTCCTTACTCAAACCACCACACACCAAACAAGAGTGAGGGTGGCCTCCTTCAGGGGTCAGCTTAACTGGAAGGGACCTGTCTCCTGGTCTCATAGAGAATCATTTCATATAAGCTTGCAGATTTACAAGGTTCACAGAGTCCCTCAGACACTGGACCTGCCTGAGCAAAGTTTTCAGTTGTCTGAGGCTTACACTTTATTTAATTTCCTCGAGATGGGATCTCACTGTACAGTAATAGCTTTGACTGATGTGGAACTGCATAGGGAGACCAGGCTGATCTTGCCTCTGCTTCCTCTTGCCTCTCTCAGGATAGCAGGTGTGAGCCACCACATCTCACCTCTCCCCAACCCTTTTGTGATGTGTGTGTGTGTGTGTGTGTGTGTGTGTGTATTAGATAGGGTTTTTCTGTGCAACCCTGGCTGTCCTGGAACTTGATCCATTTAGAGACTGGCCTTCAACTCTGCCTTCCAAGTGCTGGAAATAAAGGGGTGTATCACCACACCCAGATCTGTGGTTCTGAACTAATTTTAAGAAGTGGATTTCCCCATTCCACAGATCTTTGCAATTGGTCCTGTTTGGCATCAAACATTTTTTTTTTTGAGACTGGGATTTTCTGTGTAGTTCTGACTGTCCTGAAACTCATTCTGTACATAGCCAAGGCTGGCCCCAAACTTGAAGATCTGCTGCCTCAGCCTCCCAAGTAATGGGACTAAAGGCATGTGTCACTATGGCATGGCTAACCTTAAATTTGCCTAAGGCTCTTACGGGCTGGGATTTCAGAGATGTGCTACTATGCCCTAACATGTCATCTTAAGCGTTGTCATAACAACTTATATATTTTTTAATTTATAAATTTATAGCCAGGTATTGGTGGTACACACTTTAACCCAAGCACAGTGGAGGCTGTTGCAGGTGATTCTCTGTGATTCAAGGCCAGTTGGTTTACAAACAGAGTTCCAGGATAGCCAGGGCTGTTACACACAGAAACCCTGTCTGGAAACACACAAAAAAAGTTAATTTCAATCACATGCCTAAGCCACTGCGTGTGCATGTGCATGTGAGCAGTGCCCTCAGAGTCCAGACGAGGGCGTTGGAACCCTTAGAGCTAGACTAGTGCTTAGAGCACCCAGCCTAGCTGCTGCTCGTGTCCTCTGCAAAAGCAGAGTACACCTCTGGCTGCACAGCTGTCTCTCCAGCCCCAACAATGTGTTTCAAATACAGGTCTGCTCCCGTGTCCTGCAGCATCTGTTCCTCGGGACCCTGACCTTACACCACCTGGGTGTGGTGGCACACAGCTATCAGCCCAGGAAGGGATATGGAGGTATGGTTTGGGGGAGATGAGGTGGGTATTCAAAGGCAGTTCTGATGGTTATCAGCTGTAACCCCAGACCTCGCTGCTGTCTGTGTAAACTCTGTCCTCCTCTTCTGTTCATGGTGTGAACTGAGGTGGACATTGTGATTATTACATAACATTACAAGATGGGGCAATGGCTCATGGGATAGTATGCCTTCTGTAGGGAAGACTCCAACATCCGGACAAAGGGAAAGGTTGGAAGGTAAGTATAGTGGCTAATATCTTTTGGCAAGGAATGAGATTGAGAGACAGCTAGGGCATTGATATAACGCACCGTTGGGGGTGTGTCTGTTGAGTGTCTTTCCAGAGAGGATGACTGGAGTGGGGACGGCCCACCTGACTGTGGGCAGGGCACCATGCCATGGCTGGATCATCATTCCAATCTCCCTGTGTTTGGATCCTTAGAGATGACAAGGTCCCAGTTCCGTGCCCACGCCCACACTTCCTGTCTACAATGAGCTACCATTCTGCCAATAAACCTTCCCTCCATCTATCTTGTTTTCAGATTTGCATCAACTGAAAGAAATTGATTAATCCACCGAGGAGGGTGTGTGGCTCACGTGGATACTTCTGCCTCTCCAAATTCACTCTTCCGGAGTTTCCTCGTCTCAGCAATGTGGGCGTCAGGTCTATGGGAGCTGCCTTACTGGTCTCTGGTTCAGCCTGTGCCTGCCCAAAAGGACAGTGATACTGGAATGTGAATCCCGTGCTCCTCCCTCATGGAGCCCTGCTGGGCAGGACCCAAGTTTCTGCCCAGAATGAAAACTCTAAGAACATCCATCAGTGAGATGGTTCATTGTGGTAATGGCACCTTTTCCAAGCCTGATGTTTTGAGTTCAGTGCCCCAGAAGCCACATTATAGAAAGAGAAAACCAAATACACACACACACAAGAGAAGCTGAGGATCACAGGTCACAGCAAGGCCCAGTGCTTTAGCTGCAGCACCAGGATGACTCTGGGGACGCAGGGTGGAAAGAAGCCTTGGAGTCACCCCTGCTGTGTAGCAGTTTCCTCTGACATGGAAACACTCCATCCTGCAGGGAAGCTGCTTAAACAGGAAGCTAAACAACTCAAAATAAATTCAGAAAGTCCCTGAAGCCAGCCAGGTCCCCTGGCCCCTTCCAATCAGACCAGCTGAGAAGAAGAAGCAGAACCCAGACAAGCTGGCTGCAAGAGGTTTAGACCAACTGAGGCACACCCTCCAGCCTGTTGAGCTGCCTGCTGTCTGTGCCCTGGGCTCCAGGTTCCCAGCTCTGTGAGCTGTCACTCATGCAGGGGTGGGCTTTGGTGATGAGCCTTTTCCAAGTCATTTCTGCTCCTGTAAATAATATCTGACCCATACATATTCGTGTAAGTAACCCCAATACAAAACTCATTGGTTTGCCAAGTTGGACTTTGATGGCATCTGTATTTTGTTCTGTCGAGGTGTCAGATCTGGGCTGAGTAGATGTGCATGTTGAGTCTCCCCAGAGAACATTTTGTCACACTGTACCATGGAGGCCAGGGCTCGGCAGCGGACTCTCAATGGGTCCCACTAGTGCTGTGCAACCCCTCACAGAGAGAAACCCAGTATTTGGAGATAGACAGTAACTTTATTATTCCACATGTGTGTCCCACTGGCACAGGGTGAGAGCAGTGGCTCCCATATATAAATATCAGGAGTCAGCATCGTGTGGTAATGGATGTCGGCACTGGGACGGCTCAGAAGGAAGCTTCTAGGTGTAAGGCCTTAGGTTATGACATTGGAGGAGGGTTGTGTGTGTGTGGCCAACGGGGTGAAGAGTTACGGTGAAATGGGCTCAGCAGAGAGGATGAAGCCCTCCAAACAAAGGGCTAAGAAGAGCCCCAGCCCTAACATCCAAGCCAGGGAGGTGCCAGGGACAAGCAGATGGGAGAATGAATTTGCAGTCAGTAACTTCACCTTTTCCCCCAAGGTGAAGATCCCCATTTCAAGTACACCCCGAAATATACTTTTAAAAGTCAACTGCAGACATCCTTCAATGAGAAGAGATTCATTGACTCCACCTAGAAGATGAAGATCCAGTCAAGGGGCAAAGGGAAGGGAAGGATAGTTCAATAAACCTCAAGACCTTCTACCCAGGAATCCAGATTCCAGACCTCCTCCTGTGGACCCAGGAGACCAAGTCCTGAATTTTTCCCTCAGACCTAGGCTTCTAGACTCCAGCCACACTCCCTCTGCTACAGCAGTCCAGACCTCTGGAGCCCCCCCCCCCCACCTCCTGAGTCCCTGGAGTCCTGCCCTTAGTCTCCCTAATCCCGGATACAGACCTCTGCACTCACCTCCCTTGATTTCCAGAATACCAGAATAGCAACCAGTGTCCTTAGGGCAGAAGACAAGATTGAAGGGGCAGGACTTCTGATTCGTCAAACAAATAGGGCACTTGAAGGATTTTGTGTTATAGAAGGCTGGGGAGAGATGAGGAGGAAGCTGCAGTGTGCTCTCAGCTGCTGGCACCGGCAGCCCTCCTGCAGTTCTCTGTCCCCAGATCACATACATTCAAAGTGAAAGTGGCCAAGTGTGGCATCGCTGCTGGTAGCATTGTTGCAATCATCAAATTCACAGAAGTTGATATACATGGCAACCTGTATTCCACGTCCTTTGGTAATCTCCTCAACATGGTCACTACTCCACTGCCTAGGGAGACCGGACCCTTTGCTCCACAGTATGACAGATTTTGCACCTACGAGGGTACAAGAGTGAAAGCCAGGATTGGATGGGGAAGAAGGCAAGGCCTGGGAGCCCAGTTCTTGGGTCCCTTGAAGCTCCCAGTCACAGGAAGGACACAATTCAGCATGGTCTCTGTCAGTCAAAGCCTGAAGCTCAAGCTTGGCTCCTTCTGCCCCGCCCCTTGCAGACCTTGCTGCACACTGTCTCCACAGTCTCCCTGAGCCCCTCCCACAGGCTGCAGCCTCACTGTGCTCACCATCTCTTCTACCCTGCGGGATTTCTCTCCACACTCTGCCCTTCACACCCACAGCTGGCTCCCACGCTCTGTTCCTCTCTCCTTTCCCCACTTCCTGTAAAGCTGCAGAAGGACTCAGTGGTTTAACAAGTCCCATACAGTCAGTCACTCAGCTTTCTTCCTCTCTCTATCCTCTCTGCCTCCCTCCACCTCTCCCTCCTTCCCCCCCCCTCTTCCTCCCTCTTCCCCAGCCCTGAGACTCATCTAGTCCAGGCTGCTCTGGAACTCCCGATATGGCTGCAGATGAAGCTGATTGTCTCCACCCACAGCTCCATGCAGCCACGACAGGCAGCTGCCACCACACCACACCCAGTTCATGTGCTGCTAGGGATAAGTACAGGGCTTTCTCCTAATTAGCACATGGCTGCCTCATATACCCCGTCATGGCCCAGAAACAAGGCACAGAAAGAGGAGCCCAGGCATGAAGGGAGCTGAGCAGGAACTGCAGGAAAGAGAAGACAGGGCAGGACAGGGATGGCCTGTGCAGGAGTGTGGACATGCATCTCTTCAAACACACCTACGTCTACTATCAGGAATGTCTCCTGACAAATCTCCTTAGGTCCAGCTTGTATGAAGCCCTGCGGGGACCAGTCAACAGCTTCCTTAGTGAAACCACTGCCAAATTTCACCATGGTCCCATTGTGACAGCTCAGAGCACCTGTGGAGAGAAAAATGGCCAGGATTAGTGAGTCAGTAGGCCACCATGTCTGCCCCTCAGCTTCTGGACTAAGGGCGGCCATCACACTCCAGGTCATACTCCCCATGCCCTGGCTGTGACATCCCCATCTGGATTAAGGGACTCAGAAGTCACAGTCCCCAAGCCTGCAGCTCCATTCACCCTGTTCCTCCCTGAGCATCTGCTCCTCTCAGAGCCTCCTGAGGAAGACTTGCTCCTCCACTGAGGGCCCCTCTTTGGCCATTCTCTCCTCCCCATCTGGTTTCATGTCCTTCTTAGCGTTGTGAGATGTTTGAGTACTTTGTGAAAATGTAGTGCTGTGATTGGTTTAATAAAGAACTGATTGGCGGGACTTCTGGGCAGGGAGAATGGAAGGAGGAGATGAATCCAGGTGTGTACCAGACACCAAGGAGACAGGGAGTCAGACATACAGAATGAAAGAAAGGTAAAAAGCCACAAGGCAAAGGGTGCATTAACATAAATGAGTTAATTAAAGTTATGAGAGCTAATGGGACTAGCCTAAGCTAAGGCCGAGCTTTCATAGTTAATAAGAAATATCTGTGTCATTATTTTTAAAGTGGAAGCCCAAAGGAAAGTTTGATTACACATTAGAATACTGAGGAAGGTGGCCTGGCGCTATATCTTTCTGCGTGTTTGTGTTGGTGCTCGTGGGAGTATGTGTGTCTGTGTGTGCGCAGAAGACAATGCCAGGTGTTTTCCTTAATCAGATTTCACCCCCTGTTTGATCCAGGGTCTCTTGCTGATAGTACAGCTCCCTCATTTGGCTGGACCCACTAATCAGTAAGACCAGGGCTCTTCCCCAGCCCTGGGATTGCAGACCCTTTACCGTCAGAGCCATCTCCCCAGCCTAATGCAGTGCCTGGACTGGAAGCCCTAGATTCCAAAGAGATCACTAGGTTGATGGCGAGTGAGCACTGGGCCTGCTCGGTGCCTGAGTACAGAAATGACTGCGCAGATGAGCCCACTGCATCCACTGTGTGTGTGTGTGCGTGTGTGAGTGTGTGTGTATGTGTGTGTCTGAGACAGGCTCTAGCTGCGTGGTCCAGGCTGGCCTCCCTCTGGCAGTTCTCCAGCCTCTGCCTCTGGAGCACTGGGACTGCAGAGCCAGCTCCTGTCTTCACTGTTGACAGGACTGCCTCACTTCCTCACCACAGCCCCACAGCAGGTGGCAGCATTCTCAAGGGAGGGAAGCAGAGGCAGGAAGTGTTGGGGGTTTGTCCAGTGTCACCCAGGCAGGAGGTGGCAGAGCTGGACTCGGAATTTTGGCTTTCAGTCTCCTTAGGGTCAGGGTTGAACACAGCAGTCCAGTTAGAGGACCTTGAGCTTGACGTTCCCTGACGACCTCACATGAGCATCACATGACCTCAAGTGCCCCAGGATGCAGAAATTCTGGGAGCTGGCACTGGGTGTCCACAAGCACATCCCCGTGATGGCCCCCAGTGCGGGGCTGGCCATCTCCTCATTTCCCAGGGGAGAATGTGCAGCTGCTCCTGCAACAAGATCTGCACTCTCTGCTCCATCCCACCACATCCTCCTCATCCTGCTCAAAGGTGGCCCCTTCCCCTGGGGCACAAGAGGCAGAGCTACCCAAATCCTCATCCACGGTTTCCCTCCAGCCCCTGCTGCATTCTCCAGGAAACCCTGTGGCTTATGCTGCACAGCAACGGCAGCACCTGAGCACTGTGGCCGCCTCTAATGCTTCCCCCCAGCTGCAAGATGCCAGGGCCTTTGCCTGCCTGTCCTGGGTCTCTGATCTCCTCTTTACTTCTCCCCCACCTTCTTTACCACCCAGCATTGGGGTACTACTGCTAATGGATGAGGTAATCATGCCAGGTCTGAGAAACTCTAAGAAGCCCTGAGAAGACAGAAAATTCTGGTAGGCCCCTATCGCCTCCAGAATAAATCTGACTTCTTAAAGGGTTCTAGAGATGGCTCAGGGGTTAAGAGCACTTGCTCCCTTGGAAGTACCAAGTTTAGTGTCCAGCACTTAGGAACACATACCCTCCTTGCAGGCAGGCAAGCAGATGAACAGGCTGGCAGACAGAGAGACAGACAGACACTCCCCTATACATAATTAGAAAAATGAGAGGACATCTAAAACCTTCCGAAGTCTTAGCCTGGCCCAGAGGGCCCCGTGTGACTCTTCCTTCCTACTGTCCGTGCCCCCACCACTCTCAGTCACTGTGGCACACACACAGTCCTCCAGGCTAGGGGACAACACACATGGACAAATGGAGAGTGAGCGGCATCCTCGGGCGACAGAACTACGCAGGCCAAGGAAGGAGCAGGCGGCAGGGGAACACTATGGTGGCGCCCATTATTGACGAAGGACCAAGGGACACATAAGGCTTTGACTTCTCTCTGAAAATCTGGGCAGGTTTTGGGTGACCAGAGTGGGTCAGTAGAGTAAGGGTGTTTCACACGTTGTCCTCCTGAGGGTCTTTGCACACATTCTCC